GATCAAATTTGATCAAATTTGGCTGGTTTTTGATCAAATTTGATCAAGCTGACCATGTTGCTGTTTATTGAATTTCCTATTGATTTTTGCTTGGCTTTGAGGAAGAATTTCTATTGAAAAAGCACGCGCCCAAATCAATAGAAATTGTTGATTTTTTTCAAGAATATTGATTAGGATCAATATCTGATGCCCAGGGAAAGTCGAGTTCCGCAATTGCGCAGGATTCCGCAACTAGGATTCCGCAACTATTTGGTCGGATTCCGCAACTGGGATTCCGCAACTAGGATTCCGAAACTAGGATTCCGCAACTGGGATTCCGCAACTAGGGTTCCGCAACTTGAATTCCGCAACTAGAATTCCGAAACTAGGATTCCGCAACTGTCAGGATTCCGCAACTAGGATTCCGCAACTAAGATTCTGCAACTGGGATTCTGCAACTGGCGTTCCGCAACTAGGATTCCGCAAAATGGTGGATTCCCTATAGGACTCCGCAACTTTTGTGAATGATGAGGGGGTTGGCGTGATGTCGAGATCACACGATGGGGACAAGGGGGGGGGGGGGGGTGGGGGGGGGGCTGATGACGTTGGTTTGGATGTGCAGATGAAGTCACAGGCACACGCTATCGCATGATGTGGAGATCCGCAGTTGCAGAATACCAGTTTCAGAATGCCAGTTGCAGAATCTGACTTTCCAGTTTCAGAATCCCAGTTTCAGAATAGCAGTTGCAGAATCTGACTTTCCAGTATCAGAATACAAGTTTCAGAATCCCAGTTTCAGAATACCAGTTTCAGAATCCAAGTCTCAGAGTCCTAGTTTCAGAACCCCAGTTTCAGAATACCAGTTTCAGAATCCAAGTTTCAGAACCCCAGTTTCAGAACCCCAGTTTCAGAACCCTAGTTTCAGAATCCGATCGATTAGTTTCCGGATCCGGCTCTAACCGGCCTAGGTTGCAGGTAGAGAGGCCAACTGAGAATGTAGTGATTACAATACAAGAGAACCTTCTGACGTCACTCAACTGGCGGGAACTGGCGGGTTTTGTTGCCCATCGCCTCCAAGGACCTCTAACGACATATACACATAGGACCGGACCTGTCACCACGGTCGGACAGGTCAAGAAACATGTCCTTCACTGTTCAGCTTCTATGCTGGTGACACGCGTGTCCAGTTTCTATGCTGGTTCTTCTGTAAGGAATTGCCAGCTTCGAAGCCCGGCACGGCTGGACGAAGCCACACCTGGGAGGCCCATAGAGACCAATTCACGGTGCAAATGGGTCGCCAACAGCCTTGTCAGGAGACACTCCATGTATGGAATGATCCTGCCATACAGACAGACCACTGACTTTCGCGCCTGTTTCATGCACGCTTTATGCCGATCCCATTAGTAGCATCCCAGCCGTGTCGAAGGGTGTGTGGAGACTACCCCAACGGCGAACTCTCGGTGTGTCGACGCCCTACGACCGTGAACTCGAGAGTTCACGGTCTCTGACCCACACCCGACTTTCTGGTCTCTTGTGACTGATACGGGTGGCTCTTGCTATTCGTACCTGGGTTGAACATGAACAGAATGGGTTGAGCGTCTTGTGAGGAGCCCACGAGGTCAGCCACCCAGGGTCAGGGGATCGGTCCGCGTCCTGACCGCCGGAACCAATCTGGACCCAGACATCGGTCGGCGCGTCGGCGTCCTGGAAACCAACAGGCCGTTCCAGAAACAGCTTCGATACGTTAGCCCCCACCATTAGGAAGAAAACACTTCGAATCGGTTCCGGAGGTTGAACGCAAGAGTTTTGAGTTTTGGAGGTTTTTCGGAAAGAGACATATGGAGGAATGATTTTCCACGATTTTCACACACTGGGTGACCAACATTTTTCAGACAAATCACCAAGTGGATGATGGTTGGAACAAGTGATCCCCATTTTTTAAGTTGTTCCTTTGCGGTGGTGGCGCTATCTGAGGCCAGTAGCCGTGCGAGAGTGGCAAGTGGTCGTCCCTTGGTGAGGTGAGGACTGAGTGAGTTAAAAGATTAAACAAGTAATATCCCCGCACTAGGATGTGGGGAACTATCCTGGCCCTTACCCAAGCTGGTGGCTGTAAATAGCGGCTAACATCTACCCTTGCCACACCAAGAATCCCAATAAGGAGTCTTTATCCAAGATCTAGCATTTTTGGAGCACTTGGGAAGCTCCCATAAAGGTTCTTTGTGCTTCGGACGGGTGGACAAGGGGTTCTCCCGGCTGCTGCGCGTGGTGCGAGCCAGATGGACGGCTCAGGCTCCTGGCGCCGGCTTGGAGTTGGCGGACACAAAGCCCAAGCGAGTGAAGGCGTGGGCAGCAATTCATGGGACATATATTTTGCACTAGTATGGATGGGACATCGCAACTAGTCACAAGGGCATTACTACTAGTACTAGTAAGGACGCTACAAGTAGTTCCCGGGCAAGCCGGCGGCGGAAGTTTCCTATAAGAACAAATTGACCTATAGGAGTGTCCACGTTCTCTCCAACATGCGCGTCCTCCAGTCAAACGCACGCGCTCCGGACTTGTGCCCCCTGCAGGATCAGCAGCTCACAACAGCGTACTGGGCTGTATCTTTGCCACGACAAGAGGGGTGTGCCTGCCACGAAATCTGCACATGGAGGTTCACAAAGTGCTGCACCTACCACGACATCTGCACATGGAGGTTCACAAAGTGCTGCACCTGCCACGAAATCTGCACATGGAGGTTCACAAAGTGCTGCACCTGCCACGAAATCTGCACCTGGAGCTGGAGTTGCCTGGAGCTTGAGCTGTTGAAACCAGAGCTGGTGTATGAGCGGTGTATGATGACTGGTGTATGATGAGTGGTGTGTGATCAGTCGTGTATGATGAGTGGTGTATGATGAGT